CACTCGAGTGAAGTATCTTCAAGTGCCAAGTATTTCTTGGGGAAAGCTAGACCCAGATTTAAGTCGAACGATACACTTTTCCTACTTGGATTAAACGCCACCTATTCTTCCTTTATTCCCTCCTAAAAGCCTATTGTTAAAAACCTTACATCTATTCAAAAGTAATTTATTTTATAAATTAATAAATAATTATTAATTCCCGATTTCACCTGAAATATTTAATTTGTAGAGAATCGAACCTACGCACAAAGAAACAATAGGAGGCCGTGAAGTTGAGACCATCACACAGAATATTTTGTAAACACGAACTAATCATGAAAATTAATGGGTTTAGTAGTCCAATATTTTAGTCCGTTAAAGGAATAATGGATATTTTGTCAACAGCGAGTTTTGATATATAATTAAAAATAAATAAACAGTTCGATCAAATATATTGAAAGACTCATTTATTTTTGAGAACAACACAGGATTCAACATTTTACTAAAATTTGCTCATGATTATAACAACTCAACTAAGTTTTTATTTATATTAGTAAATAAGTAAACTGTTACTTACTAGCCTAAGAACTTGAGTGCTATAATTATTAGATACAAATTGTTGATGGAAAAATTTAATCATTAATATTAAAAACAAAGGACCAACTTTTCAATGAAATAAGTTTTATAATAAAAATACCAAAAGAAATGCCCACAGAAAAATAAATAAAAAATTATTTTCATAAACTTTTTATTCTTATTAAATTATATTAGAATGTAACAGAAAGTTAAATATAATTATATTACGAAAAAAAATAATAATGAAGCATTTATTTATTTATTTTTAGGCAGGAGAGGCCAGATATTTTAGCAGAACTAGTTTCACTAAAATATATGTTGTTGTTTTTTTGAAAATTTTAATTTCTCTGTTCTGATGGACTTTTTAGCCGCCAATATTTTTTTTTTTATGAGCATTTATTTTTCTGTATAATATTTTTTTTAGGGGAAATGGCTCCATATGATTAACAATTCAATCAATTGGTTACTCAAAATATTATACTCAAAATAATAATGTATATTGTACTTTGCCAGAAATGTATATTAGTTTTTAAAAGATATATTTTTTCCAAAAACAAAAAGGTCTTCTTTCCTGGTTCAGTAATTTTTTTTAACACTGTTTATTTAATTTAAAGTTAATTTATAATACAATAATTTAAAACGGTAATTTTAAAAGTTGTTTAAATAATCAATAGAATATACCAGTTATTTAAAAATTAATATTTTTTTATCAGTTAAATAAATAAATAAAAAAAGCATTCATATTGCAATTCGATTATTAATACATTTATTAAAAATTGTTTTTTTAAGAATAAGAATCTAATAAATACAAACATATGTATCTTATGGATGTTTTAACAAAGAATTTCAATAAATTCACTCAGCGAATATTTTAACTGGAGTTTTATTGTTTCTTAATACGCATTTAAGACTGTAAAGAAAAAAATATATTAATTAAAATATTGGCTTCCGACAAATATATTTATATAACACACATTATCCAATATTCTTAAAATAGAAATATAAATATGTTTTCTAAGGCATCCCGAGTCTAATACTTTTCAAGGAGAAATTATTGTTGAAATTCCGCAATGGAAATATTAAACCTTAAACTTACTTTTTAATATACTTCGTAACTCAGCGGTTTATTTTTATATACATAATTCAAAATATAATTATTAAAAAAAAGTATGTAAAATGTTTTTCATCGCTTGAAACTTTATAAACACGTGAGCTTTTAGTGAAGCTGATAATTTGTTCGTAGTGAATTAAAAATATGTTATAAGAATTTAATATGCATCCGGAGAGAACGATATGCCTTTAGAACAATTTTAAAAATTCACTTAAAATAATTTGTTTGAATAATTTGTCAGAGTCGTTCACGATCAAAATAGCATTGAAATATAACTTATATGACTGAAATCCGGTTAATTTATACTATTTTTTTTTTCGAATTTATAACTCTTTTTGAAGTTAATCCATTTAGATACTTTATAACCAGCCCTCTAGCACCATAAAAGTTCCAAAGGAATCAAATTCTTTTGAAGAATATTTTAAGTTTTTTAGATCTAGCATTAACTTCAGTTTTAAGTACGGTTTAACTCTTGTTGTATATTCTAAGCAAAATGAACATGGAGATTGGAAAGAATATTCATATCTTTCTACTTCTCTTCATCTTCTATATTATGAATTATAGATATTTTATTATATGTCGTGATATGATATTATATGGTAGTTTTAGCCATAAAAAGTATTCTTAAAAGGTTAATGGGCAATAACCAATGCAGCGACCACTCAAACTTCACCGACAACTTTATATATTTTTACTCAAACATTTATACAAACATAAAACCTCTCTATATATTTCACTATTGGTTTTAAGGCCCTCTTAGTTCCTTTATTTTATAAATAGCATTATGAGCGAGCCTTGGACCTTATAGCAATATTTTGTTTACCATTCTCGTCATTAGATTATTCAATTATTTAAATAGGCGTTACACCCAAATATATACTTTCAATTATTTCTAAAATATAAAATATGTGTGGTTCAAATTAAATACATATCCAAAAAAGACTAACCATGAAAATATATACTTAAATCGCGCCCGTAATACTGGTTTGATATATCAAATCTAGTAGGGCTCTGCGCGTATCACACAACTTTCACTTAACACTCTACTTCGACTATAACATAATTTAAGCATTACTTTAATTATACGACAATTATAATTGCAATAATCTTATACGCTATTTATTTACGGTAGGCCAAGCTGAAAATATAATTTAAAGTTGCCATTTAAACTGTTGTTATTATGTTTAGGTTCCACGAAAACATTTACTTTCTATTCAGTAATATAAAAGTATAAATTATTAACTGCATAATTATATGTTATTTTGTTTTTTCATTGAATTTTTTTATTATATATAAAAATATGGTATATTGAATTTTGATGGTATATTAAGTTTTCTAAAATCATCAGATTTCCAACAAAACTTGTTTTCAACCTAGAAAAATATTTGATTTAATCATAAAATTCTTTCATAGTTTATGTATTTATATTTTTTTCATAACTACTACGTGTTGGATGGTTACTTATTTAAAAATAAACAAAATTAAAGGTATTTTAGGGTCAAAAATTTTGAAAATTCTATAATTAAGACCTGTCAGATGAGAAATTTATTTATCTACAATTATATATAGACTCTATATCTTTATAGAGCGAGTTTAATCAAAATTGTAAGTATTAAATATATCATATATTTTTTTTATATATGAAAAAGAAAGTAAATAGTATGGAAATACTTTAAATAACATTACGAATATTAAAATTACGGAAATATTAAAAATAACATATTTCCAACATGTGATTATGGTAAAAATAATAAGAAAAAATATCTGAATAATAAAAAAATAGAAAAATGTTTAAAATAAATAGATTCAGGTTGTGATGAAATTTAAATAAAATGAATGAAAAAAATAAACTTGAACTGCCATAATCCAAAAGATAAACTAGGAATTATATTTTTCAAAATACTTATAAATGTCAGATAATTTTATTAACGCAATTAGCACTTAAAATACAAAATATGAATTAAAATAATTGGTGAAAGGTATATACATATTTCTTTCTTTCTAATGTAATGCTTTTTTTTTATAGAGGTTCTTGACTATAATGTATATATTATTATTATACTGATAGAAATATAAAAAAAAATAAAACTGAATATAGTCTTCAGGCAATGGAGACATGTTATGTTAGTCTAGTCAGATATATTATTTATTTTTTAATGGACCTAGTCTCAAAATAATTGTTTCTATATATATAATAATCAAATTCGTTATCGTCATGAACATAAAAACACCATTATATATTTAATTTAATATTTTTCATAAATAACATATGTATTAAGACTAGAGAGTGTTTTATTAAGTAATTAAGTTCGACAGCATATAACATCATACGTGTTGAAAGTAGAGTAAGCTTAATGCAAATTTGCATTTTAAAGGCGTCTATCAGATATCATGTATTATCAACTATAACAATTAAAATCAGAATTATTTTCGTTAATAAAGTTTATTTATTTACTAAAAATTGGATGTCTGGCAGAAAACCATTGTGACATAAATTCATCGCGATCTAAGAGGAGTATTTCTGAAATGATTTATTAAAAAAAAAAAGTAATGCACATTATTATTCGTATCTTAAGAACAATAGATACCGACAATTCGGTACAGCGTATATTAATGCAAACCAAACCACATATAAAAAACAAAATCAAATAAATAAATTCACTCTAATCAAGAGACAAAAAGTACACGTAAATTTCTTGAAAAGTAACAGGAAGCAACCGGAAGTCAGTCTTGCAACCGGAAATCATTCCCTGGGGCAAATGATTTAAATTAAATCACTAAAATTTAACTTAAAATATGAATAATTTACCCGTGCATTGTTTAAAAAACATTTTTTTTAAAAGTATTAACAAACTTACAGTAAAACACACACGTTTCAAAGCTACAAGGCTATGCGTCAAACGTTTATGTAATTTAAGAACCTTTCAAAATAGTTCCCATACATTGTTAATTCAAGCACGTAATAGATGGATACTGTTTAGAAGGGAGACAATCAACTCGCATTCCACTAGATTATGTTCGTTATTATTGTTATTTTTATGATGGTTTAGAATAATTTTTTTTTCTTTAAACTAAATGACGTTAAAGAAGTGCAAATGGTACAGGAGACAGCTAGGTCTATATAGGACCGTTATAGAGCAGGCAGGCATCCTTGACATACCTTCCCTATCAACACCAACGCTACAGTTTCTGATGTTTATCAATAAACAATCATGGTTATATTATTATTTAGATAAAAATAAACAAATAATTAATTAATAAGCACCATCTGTTAGTGAGCGATCGAGTGACTCCACCGATTTAATAGATAAAAACTAGGCATTCGATGACTCACCTGAGCTGAGGACGATAACCTCGAAGGTCGCTACCAATCACCAATCGCCTAGTTCCAACATGAGGGTCGACAGCTCGCACACTAACACGACTGAGATGGTCTCTGGTTCCGGACAGCTTCGTTGTGTAGTTTTGACTGGCTTGTTGCGCATTCCAACCACGTGACTCCCACTCCCCCCCACTCTTCGGCGGGGCAAACGGAAATTCCCTCACGTATACTCTTCTGAAGAAGAAGAGGGAATATTCCCTCAGGCCTTTTACAGGTTGACAGGCGGTCCCAGTTGTACCTGCTATGCAACTGAATCGGAAGGAACGTTTTCGGATACAATAGTATAATGCGTGAATCACTTGCCCGCTGTTCACCACCGGTTCCAAGGAAGAAGGGAGATTTCAAGCGCAACCCTCCCCTAAAATTGAAGAATATATTCTTCATTTAATATTTGATATATTAATTTTTTCAAAGGAAGAGTTAAAATAGTTCTAGGTATATATAATTTAAAAGGAAGGAGATGGTCCGGGGTGGCGGTCATAAATAGGCTAAATAGTGGTAAAACTATTTTATTAAAAGCCAACGTTTCGACCCGACTTTGAAGGTCTTCTTCAGTGCTAGAACGGACAAGATACAAAAAGATAGATAATTGTGGATGTTACATAATATTTAGACAAAACATTATAAACAATGCGAATAAGCTTATTAAAATTATAAACAGTAAGTACATTGAAATATGAACAGAGTAAGCTAAGTGACAAGATCCTCAACTGAAGTAAATAGATGCTAACAATTGTTATCGTGTAATATATAATAAATTCAAATGTAAATATACTTCTACAGATCTACAGGCGAGATTGAAAGAAAAGGAAGAAGGACATGATATGAAATAATAGACATAAAGGAATGTGGAGAAAGAAAAGAAAAAAGAAAACCAAAAAAAATAAGTAAATAAAATTAGAAGAATAGAATTAGAGATGTCAGCTAGGAGTTTCACATAGAACTGGAAAACCAGGGTAAGGGCAGGTATTGGGAAAGCTGACTTGTTTGGGTAATGGGAACAACCTAAAAAATTATAGTATCTAAAATTTGAAGATATGGATAGATACGAGGAAAAAATACTATATCTATGAAATATTAAATTATAAATCTATAGATATACATGTAAAATAGAATTAAGAGATTATAGATACATACACTGCAGAACTAACTTAGACGTATAGAGAGGGGAAAAATTAATAATTATAATTATATTTGGTTGTACATATGTAAGAAAATTACATTTGAATATTAGATAATATTGAGACATGGTTGAAAGCTAAAATGAATACAAAATGGAAAAAGGATGATCATACATTGATGTAGAATGTAAATATAAAATTAAAATAAAATAAAAGAGAGATTGTATGATCTCTCTAATGGAATGTAATGTGTAGATTATTTTTCACTTATAAGATTTAAAATGTGTCTATATGTTAAAGGAATACAGTTTTTTCTAATTTATGATTAACAGTAGAAACGTTGGCTTTTAATAAAATAGTTTTACCACTATTTAGCCTATTTATGACCGCCACCCCGGACCATCTCCTTCCTTTATAATGCAAAGGTCAACTATTGAATATTCAATAATTTAAAAGCTTCTTTTCCATTATTCCATTACTTATGCCGCCATAATTATTACAGTTATAAAATTCTCCGTTAGACATTTAGAATCTCTAGGATTTCATTTTTCGATTTAACATTTTAAAATTGAGAAAAAATTCAGTTATGCAGATATAATTTCCATTTTAAAAAAACAACACCTTTTTGCGCTAGTGATATAAACCCCGAAATTAAGAAATTCAATTGTTCTAGTAATAGACAGGGAGCCGGTGTCAGTAATGGACATACCTCAGAGACAAATTCTAAAAACTTTATTTAATTGTAAAGATAAGATAAGATAAATGCTCAACTTACTCTTAGCAAAACTGTTAGCAGGAAGGTATGAAACACACTGATCTCAAGAACATTATAAAAACAACATAACATAAAGAACATAAGATAAATAATTAGGATGAACGCACCAGTTATAGACAGGAAACCCAGTGATGGACAGGTTGGACTTTAAATGTAAATAATAGGCTTCCTTGTTGATTTGAGGGTTGCAGTTTTTTTTTTTTTTTTTTATTGTAGAACAATGCTCTCTATTAACTACTGTATCAACAAAGTTCAAAATTTTTTTTTTTTTTTAAATGCCTACAATTGTTGTCTCTATAGTTCTATTGAGATCAGCATATACACTCGAATTTCGGAGTGTCCATCACTAGTGCGAAAAGACGTTTCTTTTTTTTTTAATGGAGATTGTAACTGCATAACTGAATATATTTTAAATTTTACAGTGTTAAATAGAAAAAGGAGACCCTAGAAATACTAAATGTCCAACGGAGAAGTTTATAACTATAATAATTACGGCAGCATAAACCAAAAAAACACGAAAATTTCCTTAGTTATGTCCATCACTGGTGAGCTTAACCATCATTGTAAGACAATGAGATGGATGAAATACCAACTATCAGATCAATTTGTATTTGATGATGGGCACTAATGAATCCTGGATTTAATTTTGATATTATGATAATTACTTTGGAAGAAAAATAAAGAAACTAACTACCTATATCAAACAGTGTGTAATTAATTCTTTAGATACAATTAAATATAATCAGAAGAACAATAATACTTTTTAAAATATATTTTTTATTAAACATGGTTATATTTTATCATTTGGGGGGAGGAAAGGAGATTCAGCCCGAGAGCTCCGTATATCCGCCTGTAATGATAGGTAAGCAACTCGAAACTGAAAGAATAAAAAATTACCATGCAACAAAAACTGTTCAATTATATATACATAGGAAAAATATATATTTTTTGAGTAGTCTATATAAATCTAATAAACATCAGTCGTTTATTTCCAAAATGAGCCATAATTATCAATAAAGATTTCTCCAGGAAACGTACATATTTCTATTCTAATTGTAACTTCGAAAAACAATATTTAAAAAAATAAATAAATTAAGATATTGTTTATTTATTGCGGAGTGGGGTCGCTCAGTGGTAGGGTGCTGAGCTTCCAATGCTAAAGGTCCCAGGTTCGAATCCTGGCTCATGGCAGAAAAATTATTTATTCTGTTTCATTGGCCGTGAGGCGACTCTGGATAGAGAGACCCTTCTAGGACACACCCAACCTCTTTAAAGTGGGTACCCTTAATTAAAATAATTAATTAAGAGGAAAAACCTGGCAGTTGAGCGTGATCTCGGTCAAATCACCTCCTTACACAACCGTAGACCAATAACTAGTGCTTTCCCTAAATAGTACTGAACCCAAGACCCTTCATGGGTTGTAGTACAGGTTTTTATTTATTTATTTATTGCATATATATTCGAAAATTACTGATTGTTTCAATAATAATTTAAAAACATTAAAATTTACTTTTCATAAAGTTTTTTTTTTTTTTTTTGAGAGTAATTACCGTTTTAAAAATGTTTAAAAATTAAAAGCCTTTCCCAAAATTAAACATTGAATACACTTCTACTGCTCAGCAATATAGTAAATACGTTTACTATATCATTTAATTTATTTATTTGGTAATTTAGTTAATATTTATTCTCCTTCAACTGTACAAGTAAGTATGATTTTTTTTGAGAAAAAAAAAATTAAAAAGCCAATTTGGATTTTGTTTTCATCATCCATACGGTCCAATCAGTCCCTTGATGACTTTTAATTATCAATTTGACTTCTGCATCAAAACGTTGCAAAAACGAAAATAATAAATAACGTTATAAATGGAGAGCTATTGTTTATTAAATTGGGCCTACATTAAAAAAAGTAAAGAGAGAGTAATAAACGTAGCAATTATTCACTTTTTATATTTTTGTAACGTTTTTATTTTTCATTTCTTTATTGAGTTATATTACGTTCTATCATAATTTAAGGGCATTGGTAACAGTGTTAAATTAAATAGAATCACATCAAGGTAGTAATATTAAAAATAAATAATTATGTAAAAAAAAAAAAAAAAGAAACTTAAACTAATCAAAATAACTACAGACATACGTATATACAACTCAAAGAGAAATCTACCTATGGAGAGAATATCACTGATAACTTCCGATTAATGGAACTAAAAAAATATAAAACATTTTTTACATCAAATACTATTGATTATAATAAATCAATAAGATAAAAATATAATTTAATTATATAAAAATTAAAACGATAACAGAAATAATTCCGTCCATCCTAACGAAACATGCTCGGATATCTACTTAAACAGCTTGGTAGATTGTTAGGCAATATTGACCTCTCAGAATATTTTAACAATAGTCGGATGTCTTCCACCTTTCGAAGGAAACTCAGATTCTTTCGGATGTTGATATGTACCAGTACATGAAAAATAAACTTTTCAGGAGTCTTAATATATAGTCGAAGTAGAGGGGATATCATAATATTGAAGAAGTCGAAAAACTAAATATATTTTTCATAAAAAAAATGTTCCCTTCCTTAATTCACCTTATTATATTTTATATTTGGAATTCAATTTTGAACCGAAATTCTTCTATATTTTGTCATTACACTTGCAATACATACAAAGAGTACTTTCTTTACCAACACCAAGATTACAGAACATTTTGGCTAAAGAAATAATAAAACAGAAAATATTTTGGCACAAAGAAAATATTGAGCTCTGAAATAGAATTAATATCACAATAGAATACACTAGTGATAAAATAATTCCCCATATTTTAACTATAAAATAAAATTATAAAATAGTTTTAATAAGAATATCAGGAAAAAAGCTAGTGTCTAGATTTCAAGACATTTTTAAGGATTTAAACAGCGACTTAGGTGAAAGGCATAACATATCAGATGTAAATAAAATGCATTTTATTAAAGTTATATTGAAATTGCGTGGACAATTATTATTTCTAAACAATATTGTTATGAGTGAGTAAAAAGATTATGTAGCATTTGTAAATTAAATGAAATAGAGGATGTATACCAGTACGTCGCTGTTTGGTCGATTTTACAGGGATATCGAATCAAATATTTTAATAAAAAAGTCATAAACCGCAATTAACTTATAGACATACTCAATGGCAATGATTGGAGAAGGGTATGTATGTATCATGTATATGCT